TAATACCCATACAGCTTACAGTGACCTGGGGGAGCATTGGACTTGTATATGACAGCAGAAGCCCCTTCAGTTGGGACTTGACTAACTTTGTCTCGAACTTGTTTGGTGTTAGAATACTTTAGTTGGGTGCCAGGATAGGCTCCTCCGAATCGGGTGAGACTGCAGGGGCATCCAATTAATGTGGGCAGACAGACTACTAGCAAAAATACACTTATGACAGTACTTGTAAGGCACATATTGTCCATTGACTGTTGGATCTCTGCAGCCGAAGGGGAGGTACGCGATGAGGTTTCGTTGGGGTAAATACAGTAGGTTTCACGTGTGAATGATGGATCTACGAATTCCTTTCGGCGATCTTGATTGCAGAGTGGGTGGTTAGTAGGACTTGGTATGGTCCTTCCCACATTGGCTCTAGGCAACTTTTCCGTTGCGGAACATGGACTCGCACATAGTTGCCGGGACTGAAGGGGTGTATCTCGCAATCAAAGGGTACAGGTTTCTGAATGGCAGCACGATGCTGTAAAGTAGTAAGCTGCTTCTGCAAAGAAATCACGTAATGGGTTAAATTCTCATCCCCCGCTATCAATCCTGTGGCTGGCGGAAGGAAACCACGGGTAATGGTGGGTGGATGACAAAACAAAAGCTCATAGGGAATACCTTAACATCGACTCTAGGCGCGTTTCGCATAGTAAACAGTGCAAGGGGCAATGCCTCGGAACACTTAAGCTGAGTTTCTGAACACACTTTACCTAAAAGGGTTTTTAGAGTTTGATTTGCCCTTTCCACCCCTCCAGATGATTGAGGGTGATAAGGGGTGTGAAGCTGCCTAGTGATTCCCAACCGTGTGTAAATTGTTTGTAAGACTTGGGAGGTGAAGTGACTTCTTTGATCTGAGTCGATGACCTGGGGTATGCCGAACCACGGAATAATGTCGTTTAGAAGTGCGTGAGCAACTTGCTGATGAGAGGCATGGGTGGTGGGAAATGCTTCCACCCAGTGGGTGAGTTGATCTCGCACTACTAAGGCATATCTGTATCCTCAGCACCGGGGAAGTTCAATGAAGTCTATTTGCAGTCTCTCAAATGGTTGATATGCCCAAGGTCGGCCCCAGGTGGGGCTTTTCTCTCTGGGCCAGAGTTGAATGCTGGGCAAATGGGGCAGACGCTGGTCACTTGTTTAGCCACTGCATGGATGCCAGTGGCGAACCAAATTTGGAGAATGGTCTCAGCTATGGCAGTTGTCCCATAATGACTTTGCCCATGGACTATTTGGCACAGGGGCCACTGTACTGTTTTAGGCAAGACGGGGTGGTTATCGCTAGAGTACTACAGTTCATCTTTTGAATAAGCCCTATAGAGACGTTTCCATTCTTCTTCTCCTTTGCACGCTTGCTCATATCCTTCTAAGGCTCTGGGTTTCTCCCACACAGGAGCAAGGGTGTTGAGACTTAAGGGTTGCTGAGTGGCAGCTTTGGCAGCAGCATCTGCCCGTTCATTTCCTTTAGCTTCAGGCATGCTCCCGCCAGTGTGTGCAGCGACATGCATTACGGCTATCTGTCTGGGCTTCTGAATAGCTTCCAGGAGCTCAGAAACCTGAGTGGAGTTCGCAATCTTTGCTCCAGAAGAAGTAATGAAGCCTCGCTGTTTCCATAATTGCCCAGTGGAGTGGCAAATCCTAAACGCATATCGACTGTCATTGTATGCATTTAAAGTCATCCCGGTTGCCAGTTCACATGCACGGGTTAAAGCAATCAGTTCAGTCACTTGTGTGCTCAACCAGGGACATAAGGGCTTTGCTTCAACGATGTTGAAGTCAGTGATGACTGCATACCCAGTCTGACGAACTCCAGCTTCTATATAGGAGGACCCATCCACACAGAAGACTAAGTCAGGATTGCTCAGGGGCACATCAGTGAGGTCGTCTCAGCTTTTCCATCATGCGAATGACAGTGCAGCAGTCGTGATGTGGCTCTCCATCCCCAGGATGAGGCAGAAGCAAGGCCACGTTGAGGCTAGTACAGCGTGAGATGCGCACATTCTCTGCAGCTAACAGAGTCACTTCGTACCAGGCTAAACGCTGGTGAGAGAAGGCTTGAGTCTTTTCTTTAGTCATTAGGGCTTCGACTTCATGAGGAACCCTGACTTCAAGGGGGTACCCCATGACTAGCTCTTTTGATTGCTCAACAAGCAGTGCTGCCGCTGCAATGGTGCGCAGACAGCTGACTACCCCTCTTGCCACTGGATCTAAGGTGGCAGAGTAATAAGCGACCGGGTGTAGCTGAGGTCCCAGTTTCTGGGTTAGGACTTCTGAGGCTACTCCCCATCTCTTGTGGACAAACAACACAAACGGCTCCTCGTAGCTGGGGAGTCCTAGAGCAGGGGCTTGCGATATCTGGTGTTTAACTTGGTGAAAAGCGTGGTCTAGCTCGGGGGTCCATTGAACCACTTCAGGTTCTCTTTTCTGAGTGGTCTCTACCAGAGGCTTAACCATCTCTCTGTAAGCAGGGATCCACGGCTGGCAAAATCCAGCTGCTCCTAAAAGGCTTGTATATGTCTTTTAGTGGTAGGCTTTGGCAAGTCTTTTATAGCCTTCACCCTTTCTTCAGACAATTCCCGCAGTTCCTCTGAGATCACATGCCCCAGGTATGTAACCTTCTTTGGTAATATTGTAACTTTTCCGGGGATACTTTATGTCCTCTTTCAGCTAATCCTTTTAACAGTCTTAAAGTGTCGGTCCAGCAGCTTACCTGAGTCCGTGATGCTAGTAGTAGGTCATCTACATACTGTATGAGCACTGTATCCAAGGTAAGTATGATACCTTGTAAGTCTCTCCTCAGGATTTGGCTGAAGATAGTAGGGCTTTTGGTGTATCCTTGGGGAAGTCGCGTCCAGGTCAAATGTTGTTTTCTCTTCCAAGTGAAGGCAAAAAGGTATTGAGACTGGGCTGCAACTGGGATTGAAAAGAAGGCGGCACACAAATCAATTACTGTGAATCGGGTAGCCCACCACGGGATGGAGGTAACAAT